CACACACACACACACACACACACACACACACACACACACCCACCATCGACTTCTACACCCACGTCTTCTACACCCGCGTCTTCTCCCTCATACACGAAGACCACCACCACCTCCACCGGCTATGTCCAAGCCGAGCCCGGCTACAAGGGCTGGCTATCGCGCAGCCCACAGCAGCGCCCTCTTCCTCTCGACGCCCGTGTGTGCCTGCACACTTGCGCTAGCGCAGCAGCCCACGAGCGTTTGCTTCAGCAGCGCTGCTGCATCTACACGCAAGTGCCCGACTACCGGGCCCTCGGCCCACATGGTGTAGTGCCTGAAAACTACACCGTGCGACAGCGGAGAGCGGGAAATGTACATCCGCAATATTGTCTGTGCCATGGCGCCGCGCCATGTGTCACGGTGGTCCCATCATTGTAAAAATCGTGCAGCAAGTGAGGGTGCGGCCGATCTTTGCAGGAGGGCATATAGAGTGCTGCCTTTGATCTCCGCAGGCCAAAGAAAGGCCCGGCCCATGGAAAAACAAAACCCCCCACACTCGGCCCAGAGGCATTTCCTGAGCAGTGATTCGAACCCAACGTAGGCGAGAATCAGACTGTAAGTCTCTGCAAAATAAAAAAAAACATGAGCTTTTCTGCAATGCCAGATTCAAACTCTCGCCTTTGTGATCCCTTCACTTTCGGCCTCCCTGACATCTCGATAACGTTTTCAAGATCGCCAATTTCTTGAGTGGGTGCAGCGGTGCTGCACGCTTGGTTTTGCACGAGTATAGTGTAGTGCAGCGAGACCCTTAGAGGGTCGCCACACAGGGTGTCGAATGTCGAAAATTTTCGACAGGTGTCAGAAAATTTCGACAGTCAGGCCGTCGACAGTTTCGCCCCCCTTCGCCACATAGCCTGTCGAGGGGCGAGGTTATCGAAAGTTGCCAAGTCGACTCAGCCTTTCGACAGGTGCTGTGTGGCGAAGGTGGTGGCCTGTCGGGAGTTGTTACAGGGATGAATTTGTGCGCGCAGCAGACCAGATGTCGACGCCGTCATCGACAGCAAATGTTGACTATGTACGGACAAACAGGCAACGGCTGTCAGGGAGCAGTCCCGGAGAACGGAAAATCGGAGGCGTTTTTCGAAAGGTGGGCGGGCCACTGTCGAATTTCCGTCACCTGCAGGCTGGAGGAAACGGTTGCTGGAGGGAGGCTGTCGAAAGTGCAATCCTGACACCTGTCGAAAGTTTTTTGAGCAGCAATTCTTCAAAAGTCTGTGTGCCGATGCAAAATTGTCGAAAACCGGGTTTTCGACAGCCTGTGTGGCGAGCCTCTTAGTATACTCTCCACATGCAGAGAAGGCAAAAAAAAAGGCAATTTATCTCTTCATGTTCCAGCAGAAGAGTCAGTATCGTTTTGCACATTCGGAGACTGAGAGATCCCACACGCCTCACTACAGTTACTGAGGTTCATACTCCACATACCAGAGGCCAGAGGCAGGGGAGAAAATCATTACTGTTTTTTTTTTTTTTTTTGCAGAAACACTGCCCGAGTGGTTGCTAGAGGTGCTGATAAATTAGTGTTCTTCAGCCTCAGTACGGGCTGATCTTGTCTGCACTACGGAGACTGCCAGATTCACGGATCCGCAGCCTGGATCCACGACCGCCCCCATGCCCTATTTCGCGCCGTTTTCATAATTTTTCAGTCCGTAGGACCAGACCCCGCCGTGTACTTAGCCACCCTGCTTTTTTCAGAAGGTGGCTAACTACACCGCCTCCTCACAAACGCTGCCTTCCCTCCAGACAGAAAACAAATGGGAAAATGACATGTATCGATGGAAGAGGCCCACCATTTCTAAAACGCGCGTCTTGGCCATACGCCGTCCGATCTGTGGCCTCTGGACGGCTACGGCCTGTCACGCCCTGCGCACAAACTACACTACACACTGCATGTGGGTCGAGGCCCCCGAACTCGGAGCCCAGCCCTGTCCTATATGTGGAAAGTGGCGGGAAAATTCCAGTTGCTTCCCACGTGAGACCGAGTTTCTAGTAGCTTCAGTCTCCATCAAAGCGTCTGCGCCCAGGCCTGTTCAGACGGTGGCCTGGGACCGAATTGTTTAGGCATGCCAACCGCCCAAGCACAAACGTGCGGTGCTCCCTGCTTCGACCACGTTGCTGAATATTGTGGATTCTCACGCGCAACGCCGATGTAACCAACTGGCGCGTGGCAACGGTCTTTTTTTTTTTTTTTTTTTTGAAAACAACCCATCCAGCTGCTAGGGACGCTGGTACGAGCAGACGCCCCTAGCAATGTCGGGATGGCTCCATCTATCGGTGGGGAGCAGCACCTGCTGGAAATCGGGTCCAGCGTCCCAGCATTGTACAGTGTAATGCATTCTGTAGTCATCCCTGTGAATCGAGTGAACCTTGTGGTCTATGCTGCAACAATGTGTCTATGGGGAGGTGGGCGGTAAGCTACCCAGCTCCCTGTTAATGGTAATCAGCATCCCAGCATTGTGTAATGTAGTATAACCTGTAATCATCCCTGTGAACCAAGCAAACCAAGTAATGTATAAAGCAACTATGAGACTACGGGGAGGAGGGCAATCTTGCTGAGACCTTAGTGATTCCGTGAGGTCCCAGTCCTGTGTTATTCCTTACATTCGCGTGGCAACGGTCTGGCGCCCACCAAGATTTGCAAAAATTGACGAACTCAGGGCACATTGAGATTCAGGGGGGGCACCTTCACTTAGGGCGGGCACGCACCTGCTGCAGGGGCTTATGTCGAGGGATAAACCCGCGCATTAAAAATATTATAAAAAATGGTCCTTTTTAGTATTCAACGTTTCCTGCGCTGAGGCTATGCTTTATTTTTGAAAACTTATAGTAAAGGTGGTACAAAGTTACAAACAAACAAACCACAATAGAGTAGTAGTAGTAGTAGTAGTAGTAGTAGTAGTAGTAGTAGTAGTAGGAGGAGGAGGAGGAAGAAGAAGAAGAAGAAGAAGAAGAAGAAGAAGAAGAAGAAGAAGAAGAAGAAGAAGAAGACGCAAGAAGAAGAAGAAGAAGAAGAAGAAGAAGAAGAAGAAGAAGAAGAAGAAGATGATGAAAGACAAAAGAAGAAGAAGGAAAAAAAAGAAAGAAGAAGGTAAAGGAAGACAAAGAAGCAGCAGCGAAGAAAGAAGAATTATTGAGAATAGTGAGGCCAGCCAATGACTTATCACCCAAGCATTAAAAAAAAAAAACAAAAAAAAAAACAATAAAATCCATTCCTCAAAACGTGCACACGAAGAAGAGAAAAGATTCAATGAGAGGTAAAAAAACATACCACGGGGCCTTTGGCGAAATACCGACCAAACTGAAGCCAGTATACCTGCATCCCACCAAAAGCAAGAAGAAACGGCAAACACAGACAGAGAATTCAAAACTGTAGCAAAAATTGCTGCAAATTTCAAAACTAACTAAGACTTTTACAAAAAAAAAAAAAAAAAAAAAAAAAGGCTTTTACAATAATCAGTTTTACTTTAAAGTGTAAAGTGTAAATCCAATTTCGAATGTTGACATGTCTATGGATGGCCCCGATAATTAAATCAAATTTCCAAAATTTGAAATTGAAACTCCAAATTTCAAACTTCAAATTTCAAAATTTGAAATTGAAAATTCCAAATTTCAAACTTCAAATTTCAGAATTGAACATGTGGAATAGGATTTGCGAGGCACAGGGCCTCGATATGCCCTACAGGCCCTATTTTCCACACCGTCGGCCGCCCTAAGTGACGGCAGGCTCGACCGAGGCCTAGAGGCCATTTTGGGGTCCCCACGCAACTGGGGAAATTCTGGCAGTTGCGCAGCGCCAGTTGGTTGGAAAGCGCCCAGGCCCAGGCTGCCTCTCATTGCATGTACCTGAGGCAGGACCTGGGCCAGATACACAAAATGGACCGAACAAAGGCTGAGGGGAGTTGGGTGCTGGTAACCACCACAGGCCCTGGGCCTGTTGACTTCGGACTGAGGCTCAGGCGCGTGGGGCCTACCGGAAGCTTCTGGGCCGGCGCCCAGTACCGCAGCACAGCAAGCAGCAGCAGGCCACTTCGATAATAGAGAAGGGCCTGCCTACGAATTGGGCATGCGGGCACTGGATGAATGCTGCGCAAGCACTGCTGGGCTAACGCTGGCCAGCACTCACGGGATCGCGGGTGAGCTGGAGGAGCAGGCAGCCATAGCCGAGCTGCGCTGCTGTATGCTGGATGGGGCGCATGGTGGTCCTTGGGTGCAAGTGGCATCTGTGAGTTGGGGAACGAGGTTGTGGGTGATACGAGAGACATACCTGGTGCTTGAGGCTTGCGGGATTGACCGAGATCTGCTCGTACTTGGGGAAGCTGTTGACGTCATCAGAGGCATTGTAGGCTAGGGTAGATAGGATCTGCCATTCGTAGTCTGGGCGCCGAGAGCCAGATACTAGGATATCAACATTGGTTCTTCGTTGATGATGATGAGACGTTGAGACTATTCCGCCATTGTCAATTATGAGATTTTGCTGTGCTCTTATTTGGTGGAACTCGTGATGCAATTCTGGTATTGGTTCGAGGTCACGACTATCTGGTCTCATGTGTATGATGCTGTTTGATTTCTGAAGTTCGCTATCGCTCATCTTCCTTGCAGAATTGG